ACAGATTTTGGTATCCATGGGGGATCCTGGAACCAAACCCCAGCAGATGCCAAGGGTTCACTGTATGTTTAAATTGTAGTTTTTGATTCTCTTTTACTGTTGATCTTTTGTATATTTTTAGCTATATGGTTTTAAGTGTCCCGGTTTTGGGGGAAAGGTGGGGTATAAACAAAGCTCCTGCGACTAAGAGCGGTGTGACCTAGTGGGAAACATAGTGCAATCTCCATCCAGGCCCTAAGGCAAAGTTTAAATTTTCCATTTTGAGGAATGATTTCCTTCCCTTGTTTTCTCAGCAGCCCTGGAACTGAACAGCCCACACCTTATTTTTGCAAGGAGTATCAACAGATGTTTCCAAATCTCCTTAGCTTTAGGGACTCACAAAAGAATGAGTCTGTCTTTGTATTCAATAGAATCAAAGCAGAAAGCAGGGAGGGCTTCACTACAGAGGCCCCTGCAGTTGGATTTGTCCTCGTTTCCAGGTATGTTCGGTATTTATATATAAAACATCCCACAGTATTGACTATACAAGTAGACTCTTCTTTATTGGAATTCCGAAATAGTCCAAAAACCAAAAGTTTTTTTTTTTTCTGCGGGTGGCCGAGATAGCGATACTTATGCTCTCTGATTGTTCAGTGTACACAAACTTTGTTTCATGCACAAAAATATCTAAAATATTATATAAAATTGCCTTCAGGCTCTGTGTGTAAGGCATGCATGAAATATACATGAATTTGGTGTTTACAGAGTTTCTTTCCATCTCCAAGATTATGTATTATGTGTATCTATATATATCTATATACATATACATATGGATATGTATATATATATACATTTATATACATAGATGTATATATACACACATATATACATGTATGTATATATATACATACATATGTATGTGTGTGTGTTTATTGTTGTAAGCCGCCCCGATTGCTTTGGTAGAGGGGCGGGATAGAAATAATAATAATAATAATAATAATAATAATAATAATAATAATAATAATAAATATTATATATACACACATATATATATATAGGGATACCTCCACATTCACTGGGGTTAGGGGTGAAGGACCCCAGTGAATGTGGAAAAACGCAAATAAAAAAACATTACTTTTACCTCTCAAGGAATTTCCAGGTCCTCCAATGCATCTCTATGGTCAACATTTGCTAGAAAATTGACCATAGATTCATGCTGGAGGACCTACAAATGCCTAGAAAAGGGTTCTCTCTAGGAACGTCTAAGTTCTCCAGCACAACTCTATGGTCAACTTCTGGCAGAGTTGCGCAGGAGGACCTAGAGATTCCTAGGGAGAACATATTAATCAAAACCACAAATAATAAAATCTACCAAAGTCAGAGCCGCAAACGTGGAGGGCCATCTACTATATGGCCAATGCAGCTATTCCAAAATCCCACTATAACCCAAAACACTTCTCACCCCAAGCATTTGATCCCAAGGCGACTCAACCTGTTAAGCAGATAAACTTAGGTTGCTGGCTCACCAGCGTTCATCATGTCAGCTTTGCTAGTAATTATTGTCTTAACTGTAGTAATAGGTTTATCCCAATGCAAGCTTGGAGTAGTTATTTTGAAGAACTGGGGTCAATCCTAGATTTCTAGCATGAGTCTGAACTGATGGGCTGGAAAAACACTCCAAACTGGTGGCAAATGGTTTGCAGAACTTTGCTGAGCAAAATAGTCTAGGGCTGCATCCACATTGCAGAAATAATCCATTTTGAGACTGTGTTAAGTGCCCTGGCTCAATGCTATGGCATTCTGGGAATTGATGTTTGTGATGGCCCCAGAGCGGAGCAAACGTGGAGAGCCATCTACTATATGGCCAATGCAGCTATTCCAAAATCCCACTATAACCCAAAACATTGAGCCAGGGCACTTAACACAGTCTCAAAACGGATTATTTCTGCAATGTTTTGGACCTATGGAACAATAAGTATAACAGGTTGCATTTTTTTCAGAGGGGTCTTTAGGCCCTCTGCTTATTTTTAGGAAACTACCTTTTTGTAATCCACTGCAATAAATCAGCAAAAAAGTCCCTAAGGTGCATCCACACCGTAGAAAGGATGCAGTTCGACGCCACTTTAAGTGCTGTTGCTCCATCCTATGGGAAACTCTTGGATTTGTAGCTTTGCAAAGTCTCCAACCATACATGGAAAGAGAGATCCCAGAGGTCCAAGCGGGGTTCGGGAAAGGAAGAGGCACCAGGAACTACATTGCAAACTCTATCTGTTTAACTTGTATGCAGAGCATATTATAAGAAAAGCAGGCTTGGACACAGGAGAAGGAGGAGTGAAAATAGGAGGAATGAATATCAACAATATACGCCAGGGGTAGGCAACCTTTCCCCTTTAAGGGCCGAGGGACTTCAGCTCCCAGAAGCCTCAGCCATGTTGGCCAATAGTCCCATGTTGGCCAATAGCTCCTGGGATTCTGGGAGCTGAAGTCCCTCGGCCCTTAAAGGGGAAAAAAGGTTGCCTACCCCTGATATAAGCTATGCAGATGACACCATAGTACTAGCAGAAAACCTCACAGTCCTGGAATACCTACTAAGGAAGATTCAAGAAGAAAGTGCAAAGGCAGACTTAATGCTGAACATAAAGAAAACAAAAAGAATGACCACCAAAGACCTTCACAAGTTCAACCGAGACAATGAAGAAATAGTAATAGTCAAAGAATTCCCATCCCTGGGATCAGACATTGATCAAAATGGGGACTGCAGTCAGAAAATCCGAAGAAGACTAAGAATGGGGAGAGGGGCTATGAAAGCACTAGAAATGATCCTAAAATGCAAAGATAAACAACTCGGAACAAAGGTGAGAATCATACAAGCCATTGTATTCCCTATTATTCCCATGGATGGATGTGAGAGCTGGACAGTTAAGGAAGAAGATAGGAAGAAAACCAATGCATCTGAGAGAATGTGTTTCTGGAGAAGATGCTGAGGATCCCATGGAGAGCCAAAAGGACAAACAAATGGGTCTTAGAGCAGATCAAGCCAGAGATATCCCTAGAAGCCAAGATGACTAGATTAAGGCTGTCGTACTTTGACCACATCATGCGAAGGCAGGACTCATTGGAGAAAACAATAATGCTAGGCAAGGCAGAGGGAAGCAGAAAGAGAGATGTGAGATGGATGGACTCTATTAAGGAGATCATGGATATGCATTTGCAGGACCTGAGCAGAGCAGTGGAGGACAGGGAGTCTTGGAGATGTCTCATCCACAGGGTCACTATGGGTCTAGATCGACTTGATCAATAACAACAAAAGAAAATCTATCAGCAAGTTTGATTTTAGATGAACTCTCTCCTTGTACGGATTTCAAGTTAGTGCAGCAAAGCAAGGAAGATTAAATTAAGTCATCATACTTACCTGCCTTTATATATAGCATCATTATAGCCTGAAGCTCTTGTATCTACCTAATTCCCGTTTGACACCACTGGCTTATATTGTTTCCCTCCGTCTGTTATTTGCCCTCCAAGGGGAATACAACATGCATCTGACACAGTGAGCGCTAATCTATTAAAGCCTATATAGTAAATCTCGTTCCTAATGCTTCTGTTGACAAGTGCAAACTCTTCCTGCTTTAGGACAGTCAAAGCTAAACTTTTACATCGGGAGGAAGTTTTGTTGTTGTGGTTTATTATTTAACTCAGTTGAATTTTTAAAAAATAAAATCAGGATTTTAAGTGTATTGTAATCCGTTCTGCCTCCCTGGCCCAGAGGTTTGAACAAAGCTCACAATTGTCAAGCCATCCAAATGTCTGTGTACATCTCGCCGATCTGAGAAACACATTCCAGAGTGAGAATGTGAAATTCACAGTAAAGTAAGACTTCATTAGGACCAAAGAAAATGTCAAAATGTCACAAGATGGCAAAAAGCAAACCATATGTTAACAAAAGTCTCTTAAATTGGGAGAAAGTGGCAGGGTCCAGTCTACGTGGCGTCAGGGCTTTTTTCTGGAGTATAAAATCACACAAAAAATCTGTCACCACCCAATCTTTCATTCCAAATTTAGCCTCAATGGATACTAGATGAGAGCCAGCGTAGGATAATGGTTTGACTGCTGGACTAGGACTCCAGGAGACGAGGGTTCGAATCCCCTCCTTGGCCATGGAAACCCACTGGGTGACCCCTTAGGCAAGTCACACTCCATGGAGGAAAGCCATGGCAAATTTCCTTTGAACAAATCTTGCCAAGAAAATCCTGTGATACGATTGCCACCAGTCAGAAATTCCAGTTGGCCCTCCATAGCCATGGATTGATTATTTCTTTCTTTATTTCCCGCCTTCCTCTTGGTATAGGGACTCGAGGCAGCTAACCAAATTTCAAACAGTCCAAGTTAACAGTCTGTCAGGGATGCTTTGATTGGGATTTCCTGCATGGCAGGGGGTTGGACCGGATGGCCCTTGTGGTCTCTTCCAACTCTATGATTCTATGATTCTATGAAAACAATATAAAGCAATAGCAATAGCAATAGCAGCTTCATTTGTATACCGCTTCATACCACACTAAGCAGTCTCCAAGCAGTTTACAACTGCAAGCCAATTGCCCCAAACAAGATAAATACTCATTTTAGTGAGCTTGGAAGGATGCAAGGCTGAGTTGGCCCTGAGCTTCTGGCTGGGATTGAACTCACAACCTTGTGGTTTGTGAGTGAGTGGTTGCACTACAGGCATTTAATCACTTTGCCACCAGGGCATTAAAAATACAAAGTGTTAAAAATAATTGTAATAAATTAAAAACATTAGATATTAAAATTTAAAATGTAAACTCTTTATAAAATTCATATATATATATATATATATATATATATATATATATATATATATATCACCCAAGTCAGTGTGAGAAAGACTAGTGGCATAAAAATGGTTTTATCTGCTGCAGAAAGGAAAGTAGGGATGGAGCCCGCCTGGCCTTTCTCTGGAGGGAGTTCCATGGATTGAAAATATTCCAAAATATATACATTCCAAAAAACCAACCTTGGTTTTGCCATTTTATATAAGGGGCACCCTTTTACTACGGCGTTGTCTATAATGGGACTTGAGCATCCACAGATTTTGGTATTAATGGGGGATCCTGGAACCAAACCCCAGCGGATGGCAACAGCCCACTGTATTTCAAGGCAAGCAACAACACCACAACCACCAAAAGGTATTGGGTACCCATATGAAGAGCGAGTTAATGATGCCAGCTGCTCAAGATTATATATGGTCATAAAAGAGCTCTAATATGTTGGCTTGATGGTCGCTCAGTTGGCACGTAAGGTATGGGGCAATATCTCCTAGTTGCCTTATTTGTCTAAGAGTTCAAATTTAGTAACAGAAGCAGGATTATACAGTGGTCCCACCACATTTTCTGGGGTTAGGGATGAAGGACCCCTGTGAATGTAGAAAAACTACAAATTAAAAAACAAAGCACTATTTATCTTTCCTCTCTAGGTCCTCCAGTGCATCACAGAATCATGCTGGAGGGCTTACAAATGCCTAGAAAGGTGTTTTCTCTATGAACTTCTAGGTTCTCCAGCACAACTCTATGGCCAACTTCTCTCAGAGTTGCGCCAGAGGACCCAGAGATTCCTAGTATTAATCAAAACCATAAATGTGAAGTCGTAGGCTTTCATGGCCGGCATCCATAGTTTTTTTTGTGGGGTTTTTCGGGCTAGCCACAGATGCTGGCGAAACGTCAGAAAGAAACTCTTCTAGAACATGGCCACACAGCCCGAAAACCCCCACAAAAAAACCATAAATAATCAAATCCACAAAAGTCAAAGCCGCAAATGTGGAGGGCTATCTGTACTTTACATAAGCAAATCCCTCTGATACTTATCAAGAAATCTGGGCCCATACTTGGTCTTCATGTACAACTTGGGTGCAGAGTGGGGGCCTGCTTGAACCTTAAGATTGTCACAGGAGGGCTTTCTCTCTGTCTCTCCATCCCCACAAGTACAGCTGGCAAAGACCTGGGAGAGGGCCTTTTTGGTGGCTATTCCCAGTCTGTGGAACTCCCTCCCACAGGAAACTACATGGTACCCTCTGTGATCTCTTTCAACTGGCAGGCAAAGATTTTTAAAAAATTAAAACAGGTCTTCTATCTTTTATTGGCTGTGGCAAAGGGGCTTTATAATGGAGTGTGATGTACTTTGAACTTATGTTGTATAGTCAGCCCTCCGTATCTATGGGTTCTTTATTCACAGATGCAAGCATCTACAACTTGGAAGATATTAAAAAATATATATAAATCCGAAAAAAGCAAACCTTGATTTTGCCATTTTATGTAAGGGACACCATTTTGCTATGCCATTATATTTAATGGGACTTGAGCATCCGTGGATTTTGGTATCCATGGGGAGTTCTGGAACCAAACCCCAGCAGATACCAAGGGCCCACTGTATATGTATTTTGAGCTGTTCTAAGGGTTTTAATATACTGTAATTGTCTAATGTTTTTAAACTTTTGAACAATATTGTTTTAATAATAATTTTAACCTGTAAGCCACCTTGGATCCCATACTGGAAGAAAAGTCGGATATAAATTAAATACATTTCAACTATATAGGTAGTTTTGTAGTCCTGTTTCCCACATTTGTCCAAACTTAAACTTCTTCTCCTGTTCCAAATAGTACAACTCCTTTTTGTCGATCCATGTGAGCATCTTCAAAATTACATTCTACAAAAGGAATAGGGAAAGGGCAACTCTCCAGATGCTATTGGACTGAAACTCCCAGCCAGAGCGGCCAATGGAGAGGAATGCTAGGAGGTGCAGTCCAACAAAAAGGGCCACATTTTGTCTACTCCTGTTCTATAGTTTTCTTTTCTGAGGCTGCATCAGCTCTGCAGAAATAATGCAGTCTGTCTTTAGCTGCCATGGCTCAGTGCTATGGAATTCTGGAATTTGTAGTTTTGTGAGATATGTAGCCTTCTCTGGCAGAGAATTCTGGTGCATCAACAAGCTACAGATCCCAGGATTCCACAGTAGTGAGCCAAGGCAGTTAAAGCAGTGTCAAACTGCATTATTTCTGCAGCGCAAATGCACTCCATGAGGCTATTTTAAATACAATAATCACAGAAGACAGCTTGTCAACAGTATAATGGTGACAGCAACACTTTCTTCTCAATCTGCGGAAAGACTATGAGCCCATCAGTGGTTCAGTTCTCAATGGCTTATTCTGCTGAATGAATCCGTACTAGTGCATGAAAAGACCCGGACAAAGGACACTAGGAGCCATAACAAGAGGCAGATGACATTGCACTGTGAATTTTCTGAACAATTGCTGAAGAGCCAGCCTATCCAGTTCTTAAAAAGAATGCAAGAACATTTTGTAAAGAAAATTCGGTACACAGAGACAGTCTGTGAAAGAAATAGGCAATGCATTCAGATAAAAGGTCTATGGGAGGGCTTGGCATCTCTTGTTGCAAGCAGAAGGTGCATAGTTCATTTTTACAAAGACCAGTGCTGGAAAACTACAGTGTGTTTAGCTAACATTCAGGGGTAGCCATGTTGGCATATAGCAAATCCAATAACACCAAAAATCCACCAAACAGTGATACCTGTAGTGGGCCCACCAAAATGCACAATATACATGTTGCAAGCTTTTCAAAGCTCCATTGGCTTCTGTGTGTGTGTTTGGGTGTGTTTTCATTCTGCAACTGCTACCAATAAATTAAGAAAAACTCAAGTCAACTTTTGAAAGGTATTCATGAATGGACACAGAAAACAAACATATTTTCAGCTTGGGGGGGGGATTTTGTTGCGTCTAGTCTTCCATTTGATATATTTATGGCAGATAGCATAACAGAAACCTCAAAAAACCCTGGTTTTAAAAAGAATTGCTCTGGTTGCCAAGACTGTCCAGTCTGAATTCAAAGTGCTGGTCATGACATTTAAAGTCCTAAATGATTTGGGACCTCAGGACTTGATATAGGGACACAAGGCAGCTGCCACCCAATTGACATAGGTTTAGATTGTTTTTAACTTTTTCAATTATTCATTTAATGTTTTTCATTCTTATATGTATTTCTGTTGGGAGAGACCAAAATATTAGCCTCACCATGTCACCCCAAATAAGACATGGACTTGAATCTGATTAGAAAGTAAGATATCGGAGAAAGGCGAGATATAAATTAAATAAACTTATGCCTGTATATACCACTAACAGGATACCAGTTAGTGTGTGATGAACAGAACCAGGGCTGTCCTTACCACCCTGTGGCTAAGAAAAACACAGCAACTCAAACTGGGAAGTCACCAAGAGCAACAGAGAGGTGGAGGCTGTCATGGAGAGTAAGAAAGTCCGTAATGTTGAGTTATGTGGTGGGCATAAAATATGGCCTACTGGCTGCCCCCCAAAAAGGGGAAACAAAGAATTTAGGCTAGCTGTATGTAGAGATTGAGGTTAAGAGCGTAAATCTTAGCATGCAAAGAAAATATGGATGGTGGATGTCTAGTCACTCTTGTCGTTTGCTACTTGCATATGGCCAAGGAGGAATCATTACTTGCACCATACTTATTAGATGGCTTGGTAATACAGGATTGTGCATGGAGTCAGGTTGAGAGGACTTCCAGTTTGTTACAGGTTGTGAAGTATCCATAATTCACTTTTGTTCCAGAAGGCTCCCCAGACCCCCAGGGTATGTGGACATACAAGGGCACCACATTGTGAGCATGTACAAGGGCCAGCCCCAAAGTGGATCACACACTGAAACACCCCTGCCCCCCAAGGAAAGCAGTTCTATCAGCAGAATAAACCACTTGGATCCTAGCCCAAATGTATAGGACACAGACACAAATCAAAACAGATATTAACAGAAAAATAGTCCATTTAATGGCAGCACTGAATTACCAAGCAAGGTTTCATCTCCTTGAGGAGAGTATGGCAGTGATGGAAAAATGTCAGTCAAAGGCCACTGTTACACTGATGAGATATAAAAGATTATTAGCTACCAAAGCAGCATTTGACACCCACTGTCATCTCCTATGCCTGCCTATGTGTACAAAATACAGTGCAGAACACACTGTTAGCAAAACTTCTACAGTGGCCTTGACAAGTATTATGACTCGCTATGACCACCGAGAAACATATTTTGGAAATCTTCTAGAGAATTGAATTCT